GTATCAACAGCATGGCCAGCCTCTCTCTCTGTGAGGACAGCTACAGATCTTGGTGAGTGAGCTTCGCCATCAATCTCTCTCTCAGATTACAGGGTGAAATTGCAATAGGAGAGAGCTGGCCATTTCCAGTTACTGTGAGCAGCTGAGTCTCATGCAGAGACTGAGACATGAAGTGGTGCTACTCCACGGCAAGGTATTGTGTCACTAAGGTGGTTTATTTCACTCGGATGTATACTTGTTTAGCTGGAGAGTCGAGAGGCTGAGATTGAGATGCTAAAACAACAGTTGGAGGAAGCAAAGAGAGAAAAATCAGTCGTAGAACTAGAGTTTTCTAACTATTGCAAACACACCCAGGTAAGCTCATCATGTGACGCCATTGTGCAGCATTCAGGCCTAGTCCTTACCCATGCAATTAGCGGCAAAGTTTTATTTTTCACAGAAGCTGATGTGTGACGCTGCAGTTGACAAAACAGAGCAATGGCTGGATTCATTATCATCAAACTGAAATGAAATTAGTTACACAAATAATTATCCTTAAAAACACATTCTCTGGCATGTGTGGCGGCAACGCAACTATTAAAGATTATAAAGTGGTCGATCCTGCAGTATCTATAGGTTGTGGAGTGAGGGTTGGAAGGGAAAGGTTAAGGCATGACAGTCTCATATGCATCATCATTTCCTCCAGTTTCTTCTCTCACTGCACTGTAGGCCTCGTTACTGGTGGTCTTGAATGACTCAGGAGGAGCTCTGCAAATGAGGAGATGGCAAAAACAACAATGAGAACAGAAAATGTGCAAACTACACTTAATTACTAAGTGTTTGTACCTCTTTAGTGGCCCAGCAGCAGTAGTAGTGCATTTTTCAGCTCTTTGGAGTTTCTTCATGAAAAAGACTATCACCATAACCTGCACTGCTATAGCAGTCACAATCACCACTCCCAACACACCACCAAGAGCAGCTACTGCTACTGATGATGATGATCCACTGCTTTCACATGCAGGAACTGTATTGACAAATGACAAGAATCCAGTCAGACCTATTGACTCATATCATTGGGCAATAAAACGAATAAACTGGTTATATATTATAATGCTCACCAGGAATTTGAGTGGCAGTTTCCCACTCCACACTCTCACTGGAAATATGTTCTGATGTGCCTACAATAGATATGTCATACATCTCCCCTCTTATAAGACCAGTCAGAGTGTAGCTGTTGGTATCTCCACCACTGACAGTCTCACTACCACTGCTGCCTCCTCCAGTGTAGGAGATGGTGTAGCCAGTGGTGTCTCCCAGTGGATCAGGTGGGGTCCAGGTCAGTAGGACACTAGTACCATCACTTTTGAACCTCAAACACCAGGTTAGTAGGAGCTGAGGCAACTAGAGAACATTGCATTGAGGACGTAGTTAAGGCATGTGGAGACAACCAACCTCTCACAGTCAAGGTATCAGAGACCACAGATGGTTTATTGTTGCTCACAGTACAGTTGTACAGTCCTCCCTGTCTCCCAGCCACAGTCAGAGTGTGGGTGTACTGTGCAGTCACTGGGTCATTCAACACAGTCTGGGTTCCTTGGGTGACAGTGGTGGAGTCTCTGGTCCAAGTGACAGTGGTAGCAGGTCCACCAGTGGAGATGCAGGTGAGGGTCAGCTGGCAAGGGTCAAATGCCACTCCTTCAGATATTGAGATGTCTCCTGAACAAAGTGCAGAATCTCAATTAGCACAATTACACATTAATTTCATAGTACTGCCAAGTGAGCTACATAAATACCATTCTCATTCGTACCTCCACTGGCAGTATACAGTCCCACATAGACTAGTGTGTCTCTCACTGAGGTGTCATCATCATCATTGACATCATTAGTTGGAATATCACAGCGATAGATGCCAGTTGGTGAGTTAGCATTGTTCCTACGACGTATGTCAACTCTCTGAGCATCACGATTCTCATAGATATCAATATTAGATGTTTGGAAAGGCAGTCTAGTTCCATCAGGGAAATACCAGTCTCCACGATGAGGACCAGTATTAGTACAACATGTGGTCAGGTCAGTGATACACTGAACATCATTGCCACCAAAGTCAGATCTTCCCACTTGACTGAGGTCCACATAGGAATTGTTGGCCAGAGCTGTGCCGTTGAAGGAGAGACGGGGAAAGGTCTGAGAGTGGACCTCCACCAGAGACCAGAGGAGACTCAACAGAGACACAATTCTCATCATTGATCTGTTGCACATCACTCACACCACCGATTGAGCAATTGAGTTAACACCGGCTGTATGGATAGCAGAGATAAAATCCTCCCAATGTGGACGTAATATTAAAATAATATAATAATAACAGGATGTGGTGTCATACAATCGGATACCCTGAGAATCACTACCACACGAGTTTAGGTCAGTGAGACACTAGCTACCACTGCTATCACTCCCTGACATATAATGGTGGCCAGAGCTGAGCGAGCACCCAACATAAGTAGACACCACACACACACACACACACACACAATCCACACACAACATCGACATTGTGTCGACTCACTAAAAGGTGTGTGCAACTATATTATGTGCTCTGCTGATGGTTACCATGCCAAAACATTAGGACGATGAAACATTACGCACGAAAGTTCAACATACCTTGGTCAAAAACTCCAAACAATATCATTCTGTTGCTTCCAGTCCTCTCACTACATTGTAGGCCTCATTACTGGTGGTTGGAGCTGGTCTGATCTCTGGAGTGAGGCGTCAGTGATCAAATCAGCTCAACAGTACGTCTCCCAGCGCCCCATCAACAAATATGGGGAGTACGCATATGTTTTAGCGCTCTGAGAGCTTGGAGAGCTCACACCTATTGGTCTGTAGCTCCAACCTTACTCTGTAGCAAATCGCAATGACTAATTATCACCTATGTCATACTAATGTAGAGTGATCGTGCCTTGTTTTTGCAGAGTAATTCCCACTGCGACTCTCTCAGCACTCGACTCACACTACCACTATGACTGTCAGTGAAGAGTAGCGATTATAATAGGCACACAGCACACTACTCCACCGATACTGGCTCTCTGAAGTGTGTCGCATTCACAGCTAGTCCTCGCTGCCTGGTTGCATCAATCGCTGGAGATGAATGACAATAAAACGCAGCAACATTGACATATCGAGTGTTTGATTGGTTCAGCCTCCACAGTCTTCTCTATCCGTTTGTATGTACGTTTTATGCGACAAGCGGGTATTCAAAGTTTCTCCACTGGTGTTAAGTGATATTCCTTATCATTCATTGTTCAGCCTGTTTACTGCAGTGACCTGTAGAGCTGTGGTTCTCTGAGGAGATGTCTCATGATGAACACTCACCTCCTCCCTCAGAGTAGAGCGATGCGTGAAGGTGGTGGAAGAGTCTCCTCAGCAGGTTGAAGACTGTGATGACAGTGATGTCATAGCTAGTTCCACTTCACCAGCTTGTCGATAGTGTAGCTGTCGGTCTATGCAGCAGGGAGTGGCCCACTAGTCCCTCCCTCAGCATGCACGACACGCCTGTCGTCTTCTTCTGCTCGTCTGCTCTGTAGCTCCCAGCTCACCTCAGAGCCCAGTAACATCAGGATGGAACGGCCCACAGGAGACAGGATGGACCGTTAGGCGAAGATAGTATTTATCTGCGTTGCCACAACGGCATCGGTGACACCACAGCGTTGCCTGTGCGCTGGGCTGGAGTCGACTGCAGCCTTGCAACACAGGTGTCAAAGTCAGCACACGAGACGCCGTCCGAGACCGCACTGAGTCTAACGGTGCACTGATGGGGAACTTGCAGTTGAGTGGATGACGTAGAGAGCTACAATGGATATGTGTAGGTACTCTCCAATAGTGAGATCAGTAAGTTCAAACGTGAAGAATCAGCACCGCGAGCTCTACCCTATCACAGCAACGCCTCCACCACATCATAGTCAATTCTATAGCCAGTGGCATCACTGGAGGGACTCCAAGACACTGCGATACTAGTGGACCATCCTGCTGCTGGTCACAAGCACTACCAGAGGAGGTGATGTATCACTGGAGAACGTGCCTGATAAAATACAGCTCATACACATAATATGTTATAGATACTTCTAATGCGATAGTAGCGCCGACTTAGAGAAAGAGCAGCAATGATGTAGCACACAGTACCTATGTAATCTCCTGCTGTGGTCACATTCAAGGTGACTAGCTATAGTCGGCAGTCACCGGGTCATTCACACCAGTCGTTCCTTGGTTCACAGTGAAAGTCGCATTGTCTCTGGCCCAAGTGACATGGTGATAGCAGGTCCACTAGTGGAGATACAGGTGAGGTGAGCTGAGGACTGGCTCCCCTGGTGACGGAGTGTGCGAGGAAGTGCAGATATTGATGATACTGACCTGAACAGTACGAGTATGTGATTGCACGTATAAAGTAGCATGTATATACCTCTTCCACTGGTGTACAGTCCTACATAAAGTGAATGGGGTGTGGATTCTGCATCATTAACTGAACATCGATATATTCCTTCAGCTGCAGCACCAGTACCAGTGTTCCTCCTCAGTCTCACTACCATAGGACCTCTGGTTCTGCTGAATCCTGGAACATCATTATTATCTTTGTCATCCACTCTGGTCCCATCTGGTGCAAACCAGTCTCCTCCAGAATGAGGAGGATTGCCAGAAGATGGTGGAGGAAGGTTAGTGATACAGAGTAGAGCAGTGTCATCGGTGGAGCCAATATCACTGATATTCAAAAGGCCATTATTAGGGATGACAGTTCCATTCAGACTGAGGAAGACATCTGTGGATGGAGTGAGTGAAGAGTACAACAGAAATTCAGAACACACATGTGGAATGTAAAATAGCATTGTGCACAGTATCGCAAACTATTATTGATGACGTGTGAACATACGGTACTGGCGTCCTTTCAAAGTGCCGGACAATGAAAGAATTGTATTGGCATAATAATAGCTTTTCACCCACTTCTAACACACAATATCACGTAATCCTCACTTCATACGCAATTGTAAACTATAACCACAGAGTCTACTCACCATCAGGAGTCTGGATCATGAGAGGGTCACTGTAGACTCCAGTACCACCACTGGTGACTGCTGCCACTTGCACAGTGTAGACTGTCTCTTTAGTCAATCCAGACACTGTGGTCATTCCTCCACTGAAGTCTCCTGACACTATCTGAACACTCCTGGCTTCCTCACTGCTCCCCTCCTACCCATACCTCACCCAGTAGCCTGTTACCTCTCCATTCTGATGTCTGCACTCCACTGGTCCCCACTGGACTGTGATACTAGTGGAACTATTCACTAAGACTCTCACATCAGTAGGAGGGGCAGATGGAGCTGTGAGCATGGGAGAGAATATCAGGAGAGGGAACCTTGTGAGGTATATTCACCAGCAGTCAGTGTGGTGGCTGTGGTGCTGCCTTCTTGAGTCCCTCCATTCCCAGTCAGAGTGGCAGTGACAGTGATAGAATACTCAGTTCCCTCCTCTAGACTAGTCAGAGTGTGTGATGTTCCACTAGCAGAGATATCACTTCTGGAGTTAGTGAAACAGTCAGTGTTGGTGTTGGAGTAGGAGATGGTGTAGGAGGTAGCAGTCAAACTGTCCTCCAGTGCCCATGAGATGGCGAGGGAGGTAGAGGATGAGGGAGTGGCTGATACAGTCAGTCCATCTGTGAAAAAGTGTTCAGTGATGACAGTGATTAACAACTGACTGAAACTTCAATTAAGAGGGGTCTTGTAGCTAAAGTCAGCTGTGCTACTGCATGACATATGTAGCTTGATAGTCGTCTGTTTGCTCCGCTTTGTACACATTCATGCACTGCCCACCTTAAATGTTACAAGACATTCTTTTACATTACACATCACACAGTGATGTGAAGGTAAAAGTCTGGGTAAAAACTAGATAGTATAACAGACACAAACACATATGCACACACCTACAGTGGTGCTAGCTGAATCAGAAGATGGCTTGTTATTAGCCACAGTACAAGTGTACTCTCCTCCAGCAGTCACAGTCAGATTGTGGGTGTACTGTGCAGTCACTGGGTCATTCAACACAGTCTGGGTTCCTTGGGTGACAGTGGTGGAGTCTCTGGTCCAAGTGACAGTGGTAGCAGGTCCACCAGTGGAGATACAGGTGAGGATCAGCTGGCTAGGGTCAAATGTCACTCCTCCAGATATTGAAACATCTCCTGAACAAAGTGCAGCAGAATCCCCATTAGCACAGTCACACATCAATTTCATGGTACTGGCAAGTATAGTATACTCTTGGCTAGTGAGCTCTATAAAGAGTAAGTTACTCTTCTCATACCTCCACTGGCAGTATACAGTCCCACATAGACTGTGTCTCTCACTGAGGTGTCACTATCATCATGGACAGCATCAGTTAGAATATCACAGCGATAGATACCAGTTGGTGAGTTAGCACACTGTTACGACGTATTTCAACTCTCTGAGATACACGAACCTCAAAGGTATCAACATTAGGTGCAACGAAAGGCAGTCTAGTTCCATCAGGGAAATACCAGTCTCCACGATGAGCACCATCACCACTAGTACAACATGTGCCAGGTCAGTGATACACTGAACACCTTCACCACCACCAAAGTCAGGTCTCCCCACTAACTGATGTCCACATAGGAATTGTTGGCCAGAGTCTGGCCCATGAAGGAGACATAAGGAAAGCTCTGAGAGTGGACCTCCACCAGGGACCAGAGGAGACTCAACAGAGACACAATTATCATCATTGATCTGTTGCACATCACTCACCACACGACTGAGCAATTGAGTTAACACAGGCTGATGGATAGCAGAGATAAAACACTCCTTGAACACTCTTGAACACAGAGATAAAACACTTGAGAAGTTCAGGTCAGTGATACACTGAACACTGTGTTGCACATGCGCAAGTGTATCTATTACACACTCTGCTGGTGTGTTCCCTACCATGCACATATTAGGAGATGAAACGTTGCCCACGAAGGTAAACGTAAACTGGTAAAACTACAAACAAATTCTTTCTGTTGAGGTGTACAAACTGGTATATATTGACATTCATAATGTAGCAAAAACAATGTTCAGTGGAGCACAAGTCATGTCCACTGTCACACAGGTTCATAGTCTCCAGCAGTAGTAGTGGTGGGTTGAGAGGTGGTGGTGGGAGGAAGGTTTTGTGGTACTTCATAATCATCTTCAGCTGTCCTTCCAGTCCCTCTCACTACATTGTAGGCCTCATTACTGGTGGTCTGGAGCTGGTCTGGATCTCTGGAGTGAGGCCATCAGTGGTATAGAAATCAGCTCACAGTGTTTCATATGGGGAGACTTACGCATATGTTGGCTCTGAGAACTTGGAGAGCTCCACTGATTGATTTCTAGCTCCAACTGTAGCTCTGTATCATATTATGTCATACTAATATAAGAGTGTATGATAGTGCCTTGTTTTTGCAGAGTGATTTCCACTGCGACTTCTCAGCACTAGAATCGCTACCACTATGACTGTCAGTGAAGTATATAGCGATTATAAGAACCACAGCCACACCCATTACTCTACCAATAATGGCTGAAGTGTTGCTAGTACTCTCCGCCTGGTTGGCATCAATCACTGGAAATGAAAATATCATTACCACCAGTGGCATGGCAGCACTCCATAGTTTTCTCCACTGGTGGTAATGACAGTGTTTATGACTGAAATGTCTCAGTAGGAGATGGGGGATCTAATCGATCTCAGTTCCTTCAGTCCCTCTCACTAAATTGTAGGCACTCATTACTGTTGTGGTCTGTGATGCTGGTTGGATCTCTGCCTCAGTGGTTATGAAGAAAGAAATGCATGCTCCACAGTGTTTCATAATATGGGGAGACTTACGCATATGTTGGCTCTGTGAGAGTTGGACGAGCCTCACTGATTGATTGTAGCTCAACATTAGCTCTGGTATCAAATCACCAATGACATAATTATTGGTCATACTAATGTAAGGTTAGATCTGCCTTGTTTTTTAGCAGAGTAATTCCACTGCGAAACTCTCAGCAGTAGAATCACTGCCACTCAGACCGTCTAGTGAAGTGAGTAGCAATTAAGAACCCCAGCCACAACCACTGCCTCCACCACAATAATGGCCGAAGTGTTCACATTCACAGCTAGTATTCTCGCTCTGGTGGCATACGAAAACGCGGAATTTAAAACATTAGTTGAAAAAAAATATCATTACTTCATACCAACGAGTATGACAGTCGACTCCCACAGTTTCTTCTTTCATTGGTGGGTAATAAATATTATCATTCATTGCAGTGACTGTTGAGAGTGTGTTTCTGAGTGAATTGTGTGCCTCATGAAGACTTCACCTCCTCCCTCAGTATGATCCTCACGCGCTCGGAGAGGGGCGTGGGAGGACGGGGAGCTAGAGAAGGGGGGGGAAGGGGAGGGGAGGCGGAGTGGTGGGGGGAGGATGGCCGGACGAGGCGAGGGGGGGTAGCCGCGGCGGGGCGGAAGAGAGGTCCCGAGGAAGGGAAGGGTGGCAGGAGGGAGGGAGGGAGAGGGGATGATTTAGGGGGGGGAAGGGGTGGAGCGGGGAGATGGAAGGAGAAGGGCGGGGAAGGGGGGAGGGACGGGGAGGAGGGGGAAGGAAGCGCGGAGGGGGAGAGGCGGATGGGGTGGAGAGGGCAGGGGGTGGAGGGAGAGGGAGGGGGGGGAGGGGGACGAAGGGGGGGGGACGGGAAGGGGAAATGCCGAGTGGATCGAGTTAGTGAGCGGAAATGGGGAGGGGGGTTTGGGCGGAGGTAGCGGAGGGAGGGTAATGGAGGGAGTGAGGAGTGTGTGGAGTTGATTGGTATGAGGTGGTGGGCAGTCGGTGTGGGGGCAGGTTTTGATAGTTGGTGACGGAGGTGAAAGGTTAGAGCAGTGTCTGAGTGGGGAGTGATTTAGGGTGCATGGGCTAGGGACCCGGGAGCGGACCCAGAGAGGGAGTGGAGAGCGATAGGGGAGGGAGGAGGAGGAGACGCTGGGGGGGAAGTTAGGGGGGTCGCGGGGGGGGTGCGAAGACGCGAGGGGCAGATAGGGGGAGGGCGCCAGTGAGGGGGGGAGAGGGTGGGGGATGTAGGGGCAGGGGCCGAGGGAGGTCCAGGGAAGGGAGGAGCTGATAGAGAATGCACGCGGGTGAGGGAGACGAGAAGGGGGGAGAGCCGAGTAGGAGGGGGGGGGGGAGGGAAATGGGGAGGGGAGGTGGGAAGGGAGGTTTGGGAGATGAGAGGAAGGCGGGGAGGAGGGAAGGGGATGGTACGCCGGAGGGGGAAGGGGAGGGGAGTTAGAGCAGGGAGGGTGGGGGGAGGGGAGGGATTGAGGGATTATAGTGAAGGACTTCGGTTGTGAGGTTTTTGGGAGGGGGAAGAGGGAAGTGGGGAGAGGGAGGGGAGTGGTTGTATTGACTGTGGATTTTGGAGGGAGTTTTCTGAAAGTATTGGATTAAGGGAGTTGGGAGTGTTAGGCTGAAGTGATGTGAAGTTTGCGAGTGATGTTGATTTTGAGTTTTGATGTGTGAATGGTGGTGGAAGAAGCTCCAGCAGGGTTTGAAGACGTCACAGTGATGTCATAGCTAGTCCACTCCTCAGCTTGTCGATAGTGTAGCTGTCCTGGTCTGCAGAGAGTGGTCCACTAGTCCCTCCCTCAGCATTGCAGACTCCTCTTCTTCTTCTCATCTGCTCTGTCAGCTCCCAACTCACCTCAGAGCCAGTTACATCAGGAGGAAGGCTCCAGGAGATAGTGATGGTGGGCGCGGTCTCAATATCTACAGTTGGTTTCTCTGGAACACCCACTGATGAATGGAGAATGAGTCAGTGACAACAGAACATATTCAGCAGTGTCTAACCTAATGTGATTCCTTGAACTTCAAAAGGAGCACTATATGGTCTATTTGGAGATATTGCTACAATGGATATGGTGTAGGTCTGTCCATTGGTGAGACCAGTCAGAGTGTAGCTGTTGGTATCTCCACCACTGACAGTCTCACTACCACTGCTGCCTCCAGTGTAGGAGATCCTGTAGCCAGTGGTACCTCCCAGAGGAGAGGGAGGAGTCCAGGTCACAGTGATACTAGTGGGACCTCCTGGACTGCTGTCACGTCAGTGGGAGACGGGGGACCTGAAAGTGAGCCGAGATCATTTTATAGCATGACACATTACATTACAGTAGATACCCTGCAATGTGAAGCTAGCTGAGGCAGTAGATGGCTTGTTATTAGCCACAGTACAAGTGTATTGTCCTCCAGTAGTCACAGTCAGAGTGTGTGTGTACTGTGCAGTCACTGGGTCATCCAACACAGTCTGGGTTCCTTGGGTGACAGTGGTGGAGTCTCTGGTCCAAGTGACAGTGGTAGCAGGTCCACCAGTGGAGATACAGGTGAGGGTGAACTGAGGACTGGCTCCATTGAGGTCTGACTTCACTGTCAGCTCCTCAGTTGTTGAGATGTCTCCTGCAATGTAGAATCAATTACACCAGGAACATTCTGTGAACCAATACATACCTCCTCCATTGTATATTCCCACATAAACTGTCCAGTCAGTTTCTGTGTTGTCCATTACCACACAGTGATATATTCCTTCAGCTGCAGTACCAGTGGTCCTCTTCAGTCTCACTACCATAGGACCTCTGTTTCTGGTAAATCCTGGAACAGGAATCACGTCACCTACTCTGGCCCCAGATGGAGCAAACCAGTTTCCTGGAGTAGGACTACCAGGACAGTTAGTGATACACAGTAGAGCAGTGTTATCAGGAGAGCCAATATCACTGATATCCACATAGCTATGATTCGTGATGATTTCACCATCCAGACTGAGGTAGACACCTGGAAAAAGGAAAGTACGACGCAGAACTACACACTAGCACTTTAGCTGCAATATTTACTGTAACCCTCGCTGGGCATTCACGCCGAGGATTAACAGTACATAATGACTATGTTCTTTTAATTCACATTATCAGCCTCACTTGGAAGAGTTTCAGCTGTTTCTGGGTCACTGTAGACGCCAGTACCAGCACTGTTGACTGCCGCTACTTGGATGGAGTAGGTAGTGGATGGATTGAGACCAGAGATAGTAGTCTGAGTGGTACTAGCTCCATTAACAGTCATAGTCTCTGTGTTCCCACTCCCCTCCACTCTATACTGGACTGAGTATCCTGTGATGACTCCATTCTGATGGATACATGGTACACTCCCCCACTGAACAGTGATGGAGGAGGAATTCACATCAGTCACAGTCACATCAGAGGGAGGTACAGATGGGACTGTTGGTATATATAGAGTTATTAGAATAGAAGAACACACAGAGGGAAATACTAGGATACTAACCAGCAGTCAGTGTGGTGGCTGTTGTGCTGCCTTCTTGAGTCCCTCCATTCCCAGTCAGAGTGGCAGTGACAGTGATAGAATACTCAGTTCCCTCCTCTAGACCATCCAGAGTGTATGATGTCCCACTGGGAGAGATATCACTTCTGGAGTGAGTTAAACAGTCAGTGTTTGTGTTGGAGTAGGAGATGGTGTAGGAGGAAGCAGTCAAACTGTCCTCCAGTGTCCATGAGATGAAGAGGGAGGTAGAGGATGAAGGAGTGGCCGATACAGTAAGTCGATCTGATTGATAGGAGAATTTGCAGGCAGTATAAAGCTAGCTACATGACTGTACAATGTTTGTTTGCAAGTGGTCACTGTGGCATGAACTCACCCTTGCATATGAACCAAGCTTTACACGCTACTCACCTGGAGTCTCTGCAGAGAGGGTAGCGGTAGGTCCAGTACCTGCACTATTGACTGCAGCTACTGACACAGTATACTGTGTGGATGGAGTCAGTCCAGGGATCGTGGCTTGTCTAGCATCTACATCAACACTAGCAGTTCCTTCTTCCATTCCACCTGAGGTGGTTGCAGTCACTATGTAGTCTGTGATTTCTCCATTTCTCTGAGGACAAGTCACCTCTCCCCACTGGACAGTGGCACTGTTTGGTGTGACTGTAACTAGTGTGATTGGGCCAGGAGCACCACTGGGAGCTGTGG